ACCTCGCTGGGTCAAATTTGGGGTAGTGTGGATGCAATTCGAAGGTATTGGCCTCCGGGAGCTATCCCAGAGTGCTCCATTGTGACCACTCTGGACAGCACTCTTAACTCAGATGCACTGGCCAGGTAGACAGGAAAAGCCCCGGGAACTTTTGAATTTCATTTCCTGTTTGGCCAGCGTGGCGAGCTGGTCAGCACAGGTGACCATGCAGAGCTCATCAGCACAGGTGACCATGGAGTCCTAGAATCGCAAAAGAGCTCCAGCATGGACTGAACGGGAGACACTGGATCTGATCACTGTACGGGGAGAAGAATCTGTGTAGGCAGAACTCCGTTCCAAAAGGTGAAATGCCAATATATTTGTCAAAATCTCCAAGGGCATGATGGACAGAGGCTACAACAGGGACACACAGCAGTGCCACTTGAAAGTTAAGGAGCTGAAGCAAGTTTACCAATAAACAAAGGATGCAAATGGTCGCTCTGGGTCAGAGCCCCATACATGCTGCTATGGTGAGCTGCATGCAATTCTAGGGAGCGCCCCTAACACTACCCCACCACTGTCTGTGGACACCTGCAAGGGGGGAGTCTCACGCAACAGGGATGAGGATTTTGTGGGTGAGGAAGATGAGGAGGAGGTTGAGGATAGCGCACACCAGGCAAGCGGAGAATCCCTTCACCCTGGCAGCCAGGAACTGTTCATCACCCTGGAGCCAATACCCTCCCAACCCTTCCAGGGCAGGCTCCCAGACCATGAAGCCGGAGAAGGCACCTTTGGTGAGTGTACCTTTGTAAATATAATACTGGGTTTAAAAGCAAGCGTGTTTAATGATTAATTTGCCCTGAAGACTTGGGATGCATTCGCGGCCAGTATAGCTACTGGAAAAGTCTGTTAACGTGTCAGGGGATGGAGCAGAAATCCTCCATGGACATCTCCATGAAGCTCTACTGGAGGTACTCTAAAAGCCTTTGCAGAAGTTTACTGGGGAGGTCAGCCTTATTCCATCCTCTATGGTAGACACTTTTACCATGCCTAGCCAGTAGTCTGGAATCATTGCAGAACAAAGCATTGCAGTGAATTGGCCCGGGCTTTGGTGGCATTCAAGCAACATCCGTTCTTTATCTCTTTGTGCTCTCCTCAGGAGAGTGATATCATTCATGGTCACCTGGATCAAATATGGGAAATTTGTTTAAGGGGACATTCAGAGGTGCCCGTTCCTGCTGGGCTGTTTGCCTTTGGCTGAAAAGAAATCATCCCCGCTGTTAGCCATGGGCTGGCGGGCAGCCCGTTCATACTGAGCTGTTTGCTTTGGCTGACAGGGATCTTCCCTGATACTAGCCATGCGGTGGGGGGGGGGGAGGGGTGTGCTGAATCGATCATCCCAGAGAATTGGGGTGGGGGTTAGGTTGTGCAGCACATTCACCCTAAAACCGCAGCCCTTCCTTTTAAATGGCCAACCCAACGGGCTTTGCTTGGTATGGGAAAGGAGGGCGCTGCTGTTTGAAACCGTTCCCACATGTTATGAAAGTTGAAGAAGCTGAAACCCTTTGCCTTACCATGGCTGCCTGCAAGCTGAATTCTGTTGCTCAGCCGAGCATGTGTGATGTCTCACACCAAACCAGCAGGCACTCAATATAAGAGGCAAAATGCGACCTTGTACCAAAAGCACATGTGCTGTGTAATGTGAATCGCTTGATTCAGAGTGAGAGAGTCTTCCCTGTGTTCTCTAAAATGTATCTTTTTAAATACTACTCTCCCTTTTTTTTCCTCCCACAGCTGAAAATGTTTCTATGCTCCCCCTATCATCTCTGTCCCAGAGGCTAGCGCAATTTGGAAGGCAAAAAAACCACACTTGCGATGAAATGTTCTCAGAGTTCATGCAGTCGTTCCACACTGAAAGAGCTCAGCAGAATGCATGAAGGCAAACAATGGCAGAGACCAGGAAAGCGTTAAATGAATGCGATGAGAGGAGGGAGGAGTGCAATGAAAGGAGGCAGGATGCAATGCTGAGTCTAATGGGGGAGCAAACTGACATGCTCAGGCATCTGGTGGAGCTGCAGGAAAGGCAGCAGGAGTACAAACTGCCGCTGCAGCCCCTGTATAACTGCCTGCCCTCCTCCCCAAGTTTCATATCCTCCTCACCCAGATGCCCAAGAACGCGGGGTAGGGAGGCTATGGGCACCCAGCCACTCCACCCCAGAGGATTGCCCAAGCAATAGAAGGCTGGGATTCAATAAGTTTTGAACTGTAGTGTTGTCCTTCCCTCCTCCCCTCATCCACCACCCCACCCGGTGCTTCCCGCCTCACCCACCCCTCCTGGGCTACCTTGCGAGTTGTCCACCTATTTGTGTGATGAATTAATAAAGAATGCATGATTTTCAAACAATAATGACTTTATTGCCTCTGAAAGCAGTGATCGAAGGGGGGAGGTCGGTTGGCTTACAGGGAAGTAGAGTCAACCAAGGGTGCGGGTTTTCGTCAAGGAGAAACAAACAGAACTGTCATACCGTAGCCTGGCCAGTCATGAAACTGGCTTTCAAAGCTTCTCTGATGCGCAGCGCGCCCTCCTGTGCTCTTCTAACTGCCCTAGTGTCTGGCTGCATGTAATCGACTGCCAGGCAATTTGCCTCAACCTCCCACCCTGCCATAAATGTCTGCCCCTTACTCTCACAGATATTGTGGAGCACACATCAAGCAGCAATAACAATGGGAATATTGGTTTTGCTGAGGTCTAACCTAGTCAGTAAACTGTGCCAGCGCGCTTTTAAATGTCCAAATGCACGTTCTACCACCATTCTGCACTTGCTCAGCCTATAGTTGAACTGCTCCTTACTACTGTACAGGGTGCCTGTGTATGGCTTCCTGAGCCATGGCATTAAGGGGTAGACTGGGTCCCCAAGGATAACTATAGGCATTTCAACATCCCCAAAGGTAATTTTCTAGTCTGGGAAGTAAATTCCTTCCTGCAGCTGTTCAAACAGACCAGAGTTCCTGAAGATGCGAGAGTCCTGCACCTTTCCCGGCCATCCCACGTTGATGTCGGTGAAACGTCCCTTGTGATCCACCAGTGCTTGCAGCACCACTGAAAAGTACACCTTGCGGTTTATGTACTGGCTGCCAAGGTGGTCCGGTCCCAAGATAGGGATATGCATTCCATCTATCGCCCCACCACAGTTAGGGAACCCCACTGCAGCAAAGCCATCCACTATGACCTGCACATTTCCCAGAATCACTACCCTTGATAGCAGCAACTCAGTGATTGTGTTGGCTACTTGGATCACAGCAACCTCCACAGTAGATTTACCCACTCCAAATTGATTCCCAACTGAAGGGTAGCAGTCTGGCATTGCAAGCTTCTAGAGGGCTATTGCCACTTGCTTGTGAACTGTGAGGGCTGCTCTCATCTTGGTATTCTTGCACTTCAAGGCAGGGGAAATCAAGTCACAAAGTTCCTTGAAAGTGCCCTTATGCATGCAAAAGTTTCGCAGCCACTGAGAATCATCCCAGACCTGCAACACTATGTGGTCCCACCAGTCTGTGCTTGTTTCCCCTACCCAGAATTGGTGTTCCACAGCATGAACCTGCCCCATTACCACAATGATGTCCAAATTTCTGGGGCCCGTGCTTTGAGAGAAGTCTATGTCCATGTCCTCATCACTATCATGATCGTGCAGTCGTCTCCTGCTTTTGCAGGTTCTGCACATACTGCAGGAAAATGTGCTAGGAGTTTGCAGTGCTCACAACAGCAGCGGTGAGCTGAGTGGGCTCCATGCTTGCCGTGTTATAGCATCTGCAGGAGAGCAGAGTTGCAGCAGAAGCGGTGGAGGACAACAGTTAGCACTGTGCACGTTTCCCGAGGAAGAACACAAGCACCCGGGAGCCCACAACAGACAACATGGAGAAATTCGCTATTGAGACAAGAGCAGCAGAGCAGAGTTGCAGTGGAAGCGGTGGATGATGACGACGGTTAGCAGTCCTACTGCACCGTCCGCTGACAGCAGTATGGCGTTTGCACAGAAAAAAGGCGCGAAACGATTGTCTGCTGTTGCTTTCACGGAGGGAGGGGCGACTGACGATGTGTACCCAAAACCACCCGTGACAATGTTTTTGCCCCATCAGGCATTGGGAGCTAAACCCAGAATTCCAATGGGCAGCGGAGACTGCGGGAACTGTGGGATAGCTACCCACAGTGCAACGCTCCGAAAGTCAACGCTAGCCACGGTACTGTGGACGCACTCCACTGACTTAATGCGCTCAGAGTGGACATACGCAATTGACTATATAAAATTGATTTCTAATTTTGTAGTGTAGACATACCCTTAATGTCTTCAAATCAAGCTGGATGACTTTCTAGAAAATATGCTTTTGGGAAATAAAGGTTTGTGCTGGGGTATTTGGTTTAAGTGTAATGGCTTGTGACACACGGTAGGTCAGACTGCATGATCTAATGATACCTTATGATACTGTGAATCAATGGATCTTAGAATCTCATCCTGCAAACACTCACCACACATGTTTAATTATAAGCCTCTAAGTGGTTCCATTGACTTCACCTAATCTCTGTTATGAAGAGGGTTTAAAAAGTCTCTGTTTCTTTAGTCCTGGTGAGAGGGCCTAGGTCTGTGCTACAAATAGATTGATGAACACTAGGGGCTTTAAATACAGGAGCCTAAATTTAGACACCTAAATCCATATTCAGGCAGCTGAATAAGCAGCTTGTTTATCAAAAACACCGGACACTCAGAACTGAATCCCATTGTTGCAGGCGCAGTCATATGGAAACTCGAGCCATGTATTGAGAAAAATGAATATGGATTTGGGATCTAACGCTTGTGTGTTGTTTATGTAATATCTAGACTCGAGCATTTGCCCAAAACATCGGAGTCTAGAATGTCTGTCAATGGGAAAAGAGTGTGGAGGGAACGGGGGTGTGGAAAGGATTAAAGCCCCTCCTGAAACGTCTCCAATTGCCCTTTTCACCCTGACAGGCTGCAGAACACCCATGTCTTGCTCCAAATCAACTCGTGCTCTCCAGAGACAGGGAAAGGAAATGGCAGCAGCAGAGCCAGTGACCTTCGAGGAGGTGGCTGTGTATTTCTCCGAGGAGGAATGGACTCTGCTGGACCTGGGTCAGAGAGCCCTCTACAGAGATGTGATGCAGGAGAATTATGAGACTGTGACCTCGCTGGGTAAGGATTCCTGTCCCCTCAGCTATCAAAAGCTGTGTGGGCTTTGGAGCAGCTGGGTTGAGTTTGGCTCCGGAGTCTCCATTGGCCCCCAATATGTCAGGGGGAACAGCCCCAATAATCCCTGGCTCCTGCATGAGAGGCTATCCCCTCCATGTCCCGTCCCATGTGACAGCAGATTCAGGGAGATAACAATGGTGCTACTCTTCCCACAACCAAGGTTTCAATGTACTTCACCACCATCTTGTGCATGTTCTGCCTTGGCCAGAGGTGTGAGAGGAAGGGCCCAGTCAGGAAAGGCATGTACCAGAGTTCTGGGGCTGGGACTGGCTGCTGTTCGTGCCTCCAGGCCTACCTTTTGTGTCCATGTGCTGAACCCTAGGAAGGAGCGTGTGGTTTCTGGAGTCCTTTGCTGGCTATGGCTGATCTCTGTGAAATACCAGTTCCTCCCAGTGGGAGGGGCTAGGTTCTGGGGCTGAGTGAGGGCTTATGAAGCAGTTAATGCTCTGCGAGCCTTCTGTGGGGTGTATCACTGTAGTAGAAAAACAATGAGGAGGGCTCCTTATTCTTCAGGTATTGCCCTGGGACTCGGGAGACCTGGTTTCAATTCCAGGTTCTGTCACAGGCTTCCAGTGCTAGCTCTTGTAAGTTACTGAGGCTGTGGCTTTCAAAGACACCCAAGAGAGTTACACATTCAATCCCATTAACCTGGGGGCCTGGGTGTCTTTAAAAATTCTGGCTGTATTCTCTCTGTGGCTCACTTGCCCCTCTGCGAAATGGAGATAATCACTTTGTCTCGTCTTTTTAGATTGAAATATCTGGGTCAGGAACTTTTTCTTCCTATGTGAATGTCTGGCTTGAAACTCGGGAGACCTGCATTCAATTCCCTGCTCTGTCACAGACTTCCTGTGTGAACTTAGGCAGGTCACTTAGACTGTCTGTGCATCAGGCCCCTGTCTCTGCAGTGGGTCTTATAGTATGTCCCTATTTCACAGGGCTGTGTAAGAATAAATATATTAAAACTGTGAGGTGCTTAGGTACTTTGATCATGGGGGCCCCTGTAAGTACCCTGATAGCAGTGGGGTCCTGATTTACGGTGAGGTCCTGATTTACACTGGAGATTGCAGGTGCTGCTGTAATTAATAATCTTTGCTTCCCGTAATGGTAGCAGTGACGTATGATTTGTTGTTAGTGCCACAGAGTGTTGTTACGACTGCTCTGTGCTGCTGTTTCTGGAGTTCTGATAAAAAGAAAAGGAGGACTTGTGGCATCTTAGAGACTAACAAATTTATTTGAGCATAAGCTTTCGTGAGCTACAGCTCACTTCATCAGATGCATTCAGTGGAAAATACAGTGGGGAGATTTATATACATAGAGAACATGAAACAATGGGTGTTACCATACACACTGTAAGGAGAGTGATCACTTAAGGTGAGCTATTACCAGCAGGAGACCGGGGGGGGGGGGGGGGGGGGAGAACCTTTTGTAGTGATAATCAAGGTGGGCCATTTCCAGCAGTTGACAAGAACATCTGAAGAACAGCGGGGAGGAGGAGGGGGGGAATAAACATGGGGAAATAGTTTTACTTTGTGTAATGACCCATCCACTCCCAGTCTTTATTCAAGCCTAAGTTAACTGTGTCCAGTTTGCAAATTAATTCCAATTCAGCAGTCTCTCCATGGAGTCTGTTTCTGAAGTTTTTTTGTTGAAGAATTACCACTTTTAGGTCTGTAATCGAGTGACCAAAAAGATTGAAGTGTTCTCTGACTGGATTTTGAATGTTATAATTCTTGACGTCTGATTTGTGTCCATTTATTCTTTTACTTAGAGACTGTCCAGTTTGCCCAATGTACATAGAATCATAGAATCATAGAATATCAGGGTTGGAAGGGACCTCAGGAGGTCATTTAGTCCAACCCCCTGCTCAAAAGCAGGACCCATCCCCAATTAAATCATCCCAGCCAGGGCTTTGTCAAGCCTGACTTTAAAAACTTCTAAGGAAGGAGATTCCACCACCTCCCTAGGCAATGCATTCCAGTGTTTCACCACCCTCCTAGTGAAAAAGTTTTTCCTAATATCCAACCTAAACCTCCCCCACTGCAACTTGAGACCATTACTCCTTGTCCTGTCCTCTTCCACCACTGAGAATAGTCTAGAACCATCCTCTCTGGAACCACCTCTCAGGTAGTTGAAAGCAGCTATCAAATCCCCCCTCATTCTTCTCTTCCGTAGACTAAACAATCCCAGTTCCCTCAGCCTCTCCTCATAAGTCATGTGTTCCAGACCCCCTAATCATTTTTGTGGCCCTTCGCTGGACTCTTTCCAATTTATCCACATCCTTCTTGTAGTGTGGGGCCCAAAACTGGACACAGTACTCCAGATGAGGCCTCACCAATGTCGAATAAAGGGGGACGATCACGTCCCTCGATCTGCTCGCTATGCCCCTACTTATACATCCCAAAATGCCATTGGTCTTCTTGGCAACAAGGGCACACTGCTGACTCATATCCAGCTTCTCGTCCACTGTCACCCCTAGGTCCTTCTCCGCAGAACTGCTGCCTAGCCATTCGGTCCCTAGTCTGTAGCGGTGCATTGGGTTCTTCCGTCCTAAGTGCAGCACCCTGCACTTATCCTTATTGAACCTCATCAGATTTCTTTTGGCCCAATCCTCCAATTTGTCTAGGTCCTTCTGTATCCTATCCCTGCCCTCCAGCGTATCTACCACTCCTCCCAGTTTAGTATCATCTGCAAATTTGCTGAGAGTGCAATCCACACCATCCTCCAGATCATTTATGAAGATATTGAACAAAACCGGCCCCAGGACCGACCCCTGGGGCACTCCACTTGATACCGGCTGCCAACTAGACATGGAGCCATTGATCACTACCCGTTGAGCCCGACAATCTAGCCAACTTTCTACCCACCTTATACTGCATTCATCCAGCCCGTACTTCTTTAACTTGCTGACAAGAATACTGTGGGAGACAGTGTCAAAAGCTTTGCTAAAGTCAAGATACAATACATCCACTGCTTTCCCTTCATCCACAGAACCAATAATCTCATCATAGAAGGCGATTAGATTAGTCAGGCATGACCTTCCCTTGGTGAATCCATGCTGACCGTTCCTGATCACTTTCCTCTCATGTAAGTGCTTCAGGATTGATTCTTTGAGGACCTGCTCCATGATTTTTCCGGGGACTGAGGTGAGGCTGACTGGCCTGTAGTTCCCAGGATCCTCCTTCTTCCCTTTTTTAAAGATTGGCACTACATTAGCCTTTTTCCAGTCATCCGGGACTTCCCCCGTTCGCCACGAGTTTTGGGAGAGGGGAACTGCTAGCACATGATGGCATATATCACACATTGGTAGATGTGCAGGTGAACGAGCCTCTGACAGTGGCTGATGTGATTAGGCCCTATGATGGTGTCCCCTGAATAGATATGTGGACACAGTTGGCAACGGGCTTTGTTGCAAGGATAGGTTCCTGGGTTAGTGGTTCTGTTGTGTGGTGTGTGGTTACTGGTGAGTATTTGCTTCAGGTTGGGGGGCTGTCTGGAAGCAAGGACTGGTCTGTCTCCCAAGATCTGTGAGAGTGATGGGTCGTCCTTCAGGATAGGTTGTAGATCCTTGATGATGCACTGGAGAGGTTTTAGTTGGGGGCTGAAGGTGATGACTAGTGGCGTTCTGTTATTTTCTTTGTTGGGCCTGTCCTATAGTAGGTAACCTCTGGGTACTCTTCTGGCTCTGTCAATCTGTTTCTTCCCTTCAGCAGGAGGGTATTGTAGTTGTAAGAATGCTTGATAGAGATCTTGTAGGTGTTTGTCTCTGTCTGAGGGGTTGGAGCAAATGCGGTTGTATCGTAGAGCTTGGCTGTAGACAATGGATCGTGTGGTGTGGTCTGGATGAAAGCTGGAGGCATGTAGGTAAGCATAGCGGTCAGTAGGTTTCCGGTATAGGGTGGTGTTTATATGACCATTGCTTATTAGCACCGTAGTGTCCAGGAAGAGGATCTCTTGTGTGGATTGGTCCAGGCTGAGGTTGATGGTGGGATGGAAATTGTTGAAATCATGGAGGAATTCCTCAAGGGCTTCTTTTCCATGGGTCCAGATGATGAAGATGTCATCAATGTAGCGCAAGTAGAGTAGGGGCATTAGGGGACGAGAGCTGAGGAAACGTTGTTCTAAGTCAGCCATAAAAATGTTGGCATACTGTGGGGCCATGCGGGTACCCATAGCAGTACCGCTGATTTGAAGGTATACATTGTCCCCAAATGTGAAATAGTTATGGGTGAGGACAAAGTCACAAAATTCAGCCACAGGTTTGCTGTGACATTATCGAGGATACTGTTCCTGATGGCTTGCATTCCATCTTTGTGTGGAATGTTGGTGTAGAGGGCTTCTACATTCATAGTGGCTAGGATGGTGTTTTCAGGAAGATCATCAATGGATTGTAGTTTCCTCAGGAAGTCAGTGGTGTCTCGAAGATAGCTGGGAGTGCTGGTAGCGTAGGGCCTGAGGAGAGAGTCTACATAGCCAGACAATCCTGCTGTCAGGGTGCCAGTGCCTGAGATGGTGGAGCGCCCAGGATTTCCAGGTTTATGGATCTTGGGTAGCAGATAGAAGATCCCTGGTTGGGGTTCCAGGGGCATGTCTGTGCGGATTTGTTCTTGTGCTTTTTCTGGGAGTTTCTTGAGCAAATGCTGTAGTTTCTTTTGGTAACCCTCAGTGGGATCAGAGGGTAGTGGCTTGTAGAAAATTTTGTTGGAGAGCTGCCTATCAGCCTCTTGTTCATATTCCGACCTATTCATGATGACGACAGCACCTCCTTTGTCAGCCTTTTTGATTATGATGTCAGAGTTGTTTCTGAGGCTGTGGATGGCATTGTGTTCTGCACGGCTGAGGTTATGGGGCAAGTGATGCTGCTTTTCCACAATTTCAGCCCATGCACGTCGGCGGAAGCACTCTATGTAGAAGTCCAGTCTGTTGTTTTGACCTTCAGGAGGAGT